TCCTTCCTTCCTTCCTTCCTTCCTTCCTTCCTTCCTTCCTTCCTTCCTTCCTTCCTTCCTTCCCTCCCTCCTTCCTTCCTTCTTTCCTTCCTTCTTTCCTTCCTCCCTTCCTTCCAGAGCCTATGTATGTGTACGCCCTGGGCTCATGCACATGACTACCCACGAGGATCCCCCGGCTTGCTGCCAGCCACATCTGCTGACTCCGTGGTCCACCTGGCTGGCGGCCATGCCTTCTTGGTGAACCCTCTGCCCGGGAGCAAACCGAGAGCGAGATAAGAGGGCCGTTACACCTTGTGAGAAAACGCAGCCCGTCTCCTGCAACCTGGGGCCCTGGATTGATGGGCACCCGGCCAGAGGACGGAAATGGAACAGCCTGTACCCTTGATGGGACCTCGGAAGGGAGGGTCAGAAGGTGGAAATAAGCTGTGGGGAGGACCGGGGAGCGCGCAGTCCAGCTTGGTCAACGCGGGGAGTGAAGAGAGAGCCCGTCCGTTGTCTATGCGTCGGCGACGGAAGCGGCGGAGGAGCAGAAGATGGTACATGCGTGTTCTCTTGTGCATCCGGACGGGTTGAGGAGAGAGAAATGCATGCCTGCAGCCGGGTGGACGTTGGCATTTTTGGATGAAACCTCTGGGAACGGACTTCCAGAATTTGCCGTCTGCCTATATGATGTTCCTTTTTTTTGCTTAGAAGTTGCCTACTTCTAGTTTTCAGATTCCCTAAATGTGTGGGACCCTTCCGTGAATTGTATGGCTTTCAGTATTCTGGAGGTTTCCCGGGATTCATACCATATCTGCTTCCTCCAGTAGTATAAGGAGAATATTTGGGGTGGTGGTGTTCCCCCCCCCAGAGCTATGGTAAGTTTCAGCGTATTTCTTGGAACGCAGACACTGTCCTCCCGCCTCCCTTGGGTGAAATCCGTACAAAAAGGTAGGGTTGTACAGTATATCCTCCTGTCTTTCACGAAGCGTCCTGTCGGTCCTCTAGCATTTCTTGGGACGCAGAAGTTTCTTGACCGTTCCTTCGGTTTTCTTCAGGGGGTTGTGGCCAGGACGATGGGATTCTGAGGAGCTGTGGAGAAACGTCATCTCTGCAGAATGTCTGTTTTTCATCCCTGGGGTTGCTTCCAAGTTACGCGAACGGGGTTTGGAAATGCTGTTTTCAGGAGGGACAAAAAAGAAGCCTGGATGTGCATCCGATGGAGTTACTCTGTGGTAGGGTGGCGCTTGAGGACGTGGCCGGGATCTGGATTCCTTAAAGGATGGGGTTGGAGGCGGGCAAGGCTTTAGGAGGGCTGGTTACTGGAACTCTGGATCGGTTTGTCTTGAGTGAGTCATGTAGGATCAGGGAAACTAAACGGGGTGTTTAGTAGGGGGAGAAGGAATGGTAGGATTCAGAGGTGCATAGAATTTGGTCTTGATTTCAACAGAATAGTGAAGCATCAGCTAGTGTATAGCGTTGAGAGGCGGACCCTCATAGATGAATTTCATTCCATTTTCAGCGGCCTCCTGCCGTCTCTCACTCTTGCAACCGTCCCCAATCCAGGGCGTGCGTTTCTTGCCCACACTTTCCTCGTTTGTCTGTTTGGCTGGAAAGCCAGAGCAAGAACCTCATAGCTTTATCTCTCTCCTTTCTGGAAGACGGACAGCTTTGGATGAACTGAAATTTAAATGCTAAGAAAGGTGTTCCTTTCCAGCCCCTGTGGCGATTCCTGGTTCTGGGATGTGCGTTGTGTGTGAGTTGTGGTCCGAGCTTAGAAACTTGCCTGGTTTTCAGAGGGAAGACAAAGAATCCCCTCACCCTCGGTGTGGTTGTGAGGAAAGTCTGTGGCGGCGCCGCGTCTTGACCATGTGCGCTGACAGCACAGGGTGGAGGTGGACGTGCAAGACAGAAGAATTTCCAAGGGGGCCTTTCCTCCTCATTTTCATTTCAGAAACTGTCCATCAGGAGATCATTTTGAGACAAGAGGCTGTGTGTGAGTGAGAATAACTTGTTGTATTTGCGTGCCGTGGATTTGCACTTCCTGTAAGGGGGCAGCACCCCGAGGCCATGGGGCTGTTGGGTGGGAGAATTTCTAAGATAAGAAAAAAGGTGAGGTAAAAATCTTTTAAATGAAAAAAAAAATTAAATAAACAGTCTCATAGGTTAGGGCCGCTTGACAGAACCCGATCCATTAGCAAGCTTTGTGCCACAGGGGAGACTTGAACCCAGGTTTTTCCTGATCCTCATGGTAATGGCCATGCCTACCGCCTTTCAAGGATGCACTGGACCATGCTCGGACTTTGTTTGATGCTTCTTTGCTTTCCTGCAGGTCTACCACAGAGATCCGGAAGGAGAAATCGCGGGACGCAGCACGATGCCGGCGCAGCAAAGAGACGGAGGTGTTCTACCAGCTGGCGCACACCTTACCCTTTGCCCGGGGGGTCAGTGCTCACTTAGACAAAGCTTCTATCATGCGCTTGACCATCAGCTACCTGAGGATGCACAAACTCTTAAACTCTGGTGAGAACAGCTGGCTTCTCTCCGGAGTGGCCCTCTTTCCTTCCTGGGGGGGCTGTGGATGAGGGGGACCTGCCACAAAGCACTGATTCTGCATTGCTGGTGGCGCTGAGCTTCTCAAGGGGTAGCGGTGGTGGCCCCCAATCGTCCCCTGGTCCATTTTCATGGCCTGTGTCCCCTCACAGAAGTACTGATGGGGCTCAGCGTCAAGACTTGAGCTATGGCGACAGATGTTGGTCTTGTGATAACCCCCAAAATAATGGTATGGAATGACTTGGAGATAATGGCTCACAAAACACATAGTTATCTACCATCATAGATGTTGGTTGTAGATACTGAGGATGTCATAAAGATGTGTTTCAAAAATAGGGTAAGAAATAGGATCACAGTTACTTTATTGTTGAAACAGCCCATGTTTCCTCCAGCGTGGGCACCTCCCGTTTTGTACGACAGCTTCCAGAACCTTCTGGAGAGCAGGGCTGTGGAATGCCACCAACCCACTTTCGTTGGGGTGCAAATGTTCGGTCCTGTGATGTCTATATAGTTGAACGAACCTGAGGCAACTCTGTTCTGTTTCTCTGCCAACCGACTGACACAGGCGAATGGCGGAATGAGATGGAATCGGAGGAGCAGGTGGACGCTTATTACCTGAAGGCTTTGGATGGCTTCCTCATGGTCTTGACCGAAGAAGGGGACATGATCTACCTCTCTGAGAACGTCAACAAACACCTGGGCCTCAGTCAGGTGAGACCCTGGGGTGAGGCTAGGACGCAGAGACCAGGTGTGGGGCTCCCCACGGAAGAGGCACCGTGGCTATAGAGCGGTTGAGCTTGAGTTCCTTTAGAGCAGTGATGGCGAACCTATGGCCCATGAGCCACAGCTGGCGTGCAGAGCCCTTTCTGTGGGCACGCCAGCCATAAGTTGCCACGGAGAAATACTTACCCATCCTCCGATCCCGGATTTTGGCACTCCCCTCTGCCGATGCAGTGGTCCAGCGAAGGGGTGCCATGGCAGCCATGACCGGTCTAACCCGATGGGGGATTGAAGGATTGCTAAATATTTCTCTGTTAATACCGCCCCTATTCAGGTTTTAATTGCAGCGTTGGCCCTTTGAGATAAATAAGTCGGTTTTGTGTTGCCGTTTGGGCACTCGGGCTCAAAAAGGTTCACTATTGCTGCTTTAGAGGGACCACAGCTGACGAAGGGAGAAGCAGCTTCCAGAATTCTTGTCCTCTTCTACTCCAGACCTTGGAGGCCTGTCGTGCCCCACATGGTCTAAGGATTTTTTTTAAAAAGAGACATTTATTTATTTATACCTCGTCTAAAAGGGACTCAGGGCGACTTATATCATGGAATGGCTAGGCTGACGCCCACAGGAGGCTCGGCTGGCCCCATCTTTCCTGTCCTTCTGCAAGCAGGCAAAGACCTTTCTCTGCAGGCAAGCTTTCCCTCAAGGATGGGCTTCCAGAATGGGGTTTTTTAAAACTGCTTCTCCCTTCGTCAATTATGGTTCACTTAAAACAAAAGCAGAGCTTTGCGCTCCTCGCGGTCGGTCGCGCTTATGGAGGAGCAGAAAACTTGGAAGAGAGCGAATTTTCCTGCAGCCGAATTTCATGATTGCAAAGCTGTAGCCTCAATGCTGTTCCTCTCTCGCCACCCATACGACTTGCAGTCCATAAAAACAAAGGCGTCACATTGTCTTCATTTTTGTGGGCTGGAAAATGTTCACCGTGTAAGACAATGCCTCCTTTTCAGCCTCGCTGGACGACGCGCAGGGGTAGCAAGCCTTCCTCTTGGCCTTTCAAAGAGTTTGGCAGAGCGGGGGAGGGGGAAGATGGATTTCTGAATGGACCATTTTGTTCTGTTTAAAATGTCTTTCATGTGACATGTTTAAAATAGGGTGGTATCTTCAACATCGTGTTTCCTTGTGATGAATTTTTTTAGGGGGGAATGAAGAGCTGAAGAAAAGCACGACAGCAATAGAAATATTCTCATTTATGCTCATGAAAGGTGTAGAATTTGTCGTCGTCCCCCTGCAAAACCTGACTGAATGAGAACTATCCTATTTGGTCCAAATCTAGGACTTTAAATTATTCGACATCCTTGTAGATAACTAAAACACGTTCCTGTTGCTGAAGGTTGGTTTGAATAAAGCCGTTTATTTATGAGCTGACAATTGCAACCGGCTTGAAAACCAACCATTTTGCTTTGCAGCTCTGCAGCCTGCTAATTGGGCCAGTTGCTCCAAAGTCTGTAATTTCCCAAGCTGCTCCTTGGGGAGGCCTGGGGTGGGTGGGTGGTGGAAGCAACGCCTCTTCGTCGATGCTGCTAGAAACTGGAGCTGACGACACAAGGGAGACATCTCAAACATGCAGGTCAAATGCTTTCAGACAAAGTCTCCTTTCCGATGTGCGGATCTGGCTTCGGAGTTCTTAATGGCATACGTGGGAGACTGCAAGGGAACACAGGCGGGGGTGGGCTCCCTGATTGGCTGGCTCTCAGGCAGCCTAGCCAATCAGGGAGCTCTCGGCAGATCCTTGTTCCCGGTCTCGTGTTCTAGCATATGGTGGTGTTCTTCTGGGGGGGTGCGGAGAGAGTGCCGTGCCGCCAGCTGTCCCTCCTCCCTCCTCCCGCCTTGCTGATCTTCCTGATGCTCTATCCCCCTTTCTTTCCTCTAGTTGGAGCTCATTGGCCACAGCGTCTTTGACTTCATTCATCCCTGCGACCAGGAGGAGCTTCAAGATGTACTGAGCCCCAGACAAGGTCAGTCCGTACTCGAGAAGCAAAATCCTCTCTTGCCTCGGTATTGTGCACGCAGAAGAGCAGGAAGCTGGGAATTATTTTTTTTCCCCCTCCCCGCCTGCAAGAGAGCGAGACATTTCCCGTGGGCTTGAACAAACACTTTCACAGAACGGCTTTTGCACGAAGAACTCAATTCGCCCAAAACTGCAGTGGCTGTTTCATGGGTGTATACGAATTAGAAAGCATTGGACGGTTGTGTGTTCTTGAACAATCACACAGCCCTTCTGTCTCTCTCTCTGTGTGCATACATGCATGTGCTTTGTTCCCCAAAAGAAAAGATGCTAATTTGGGACAGAAAAATTGGCTTTTGGTGGGATATCTTTGTTATACTTGTTTCCCCCGGTGTGTTACAACTTGCTTTCCATTTGTTTTGAACAGAATCATTTTATTTTAAGTTTGTTTAACGGTATTTTAGCATTATAACACGGCCGAATCCTGTTTGATTATCCAATTGCATAAAAGCATCTGTGGCCGTGTCCTCCCTGCCCCAAACAAGACCCCCCCTCGCACGTTCAAGCACATAAACTAAGACTCTGCAGAAGGGCAGAAAACGGTATAAGGAATGGCTTTCCTTATACCGTTTTCGTTCTAATTACATTTTGGCCACAGTGCCTTTAATACAGTAGGACTTCCCTATCTGCAACATCCATATCCGCTGATTCATTTATCCACTGCCTGAAAATACTAAATTAAAAAAACCAGAACTGCCCACTGGAGAGAACAAGATGCCATGCAATGTATCACGTTCAATACTTCTGTTTTTTGGCATCTGCAGGGTGTCCTACTGTATTACATTTCCACCCCCATCACATTCTGAATCTCATCAGGTCCTGTATTGAGAGGAAGGAAGGGTATAAATAAAATAAATGGGGCTGGGAAGTTTTCCCAAGGCTCATCGTTGTCGGAGTAAAAAATAAATAAAAGAGAAGTTGCATGATTGGGCCAGCTTCTCTGCCTGCTCCCGAGCAAGCCAGGGAGAGCCCTGCAAGTGTGGAAGGAGGGTTAGCAGCCCAAGGGCAACGGGGCTCACCAGATTCTTAACCTCTCCCCAGGTTTCTCCAAGAAGAAGGAGGTGAAGACCGAACGCAACTTCTCGCTGCGGATGAAGAGCACCCTGACCACCAGGGGGCGCACCGTCAACCTCAAGTCTGCCACCTGGAAAGTGAGTGCCTTGGAACAGCCCACAGTCTGGCTCCGCCCACCAGGGGGCCCGGTAGGGGATTCGAACTCGCAACCTCTGGTTGGGTAGCTCAGCCAGACGCCTAAAACCGCTGAGCTACCCTGCCAGCAGTTCTACAGGGAAAGCTTGCATGTCAAGGCCTCGTTTCAGCAGGATTTTCTTTTTTAAAAGTCACAAATCCTCCCGCGCTCACAGGTGCTGCATTGCTCCGGACACATGCGGTGTTATGCGCCGGCCAAGCCTGCGGAGGGGAAGGAAGCCGAGGGGGCCTTCGTAGAGCCCCCTTTGCGCTGCCTGGTGCTGATCTGCGAAGCCATCCCACACCCTGCCAACATCGAGACCCCCCTGGCCAGCGGCACCTTCCTCAGCCGCCACACCATGGACATGAAGTTTAGCTACTGTGACGACAGGTGAGCAGACGGCCGTGCGGGTGGAGACGCTCTGGGGTTCCGGGGGAGACGAGGACGACGACGGAGGGGAGGGCAAAAGCCAGCCGTCCCGTTCTTCACCCAGCCCCGTGGCTGCCGAGGCTGCGGCTGGAAGCATGCGTGACATCCCGTAGAGGTGGGTAGATTTGTGCTTTTTTGGACCACCGCACCCAGAATGTGGATGCTGGAGGGCTCTGGGGTTTAAGTCTCTCTGGCTGCAGACCCAGAGGTTGACGGTTCGATTCCATGGTGGGCCTCCTCGATGGGGGCTGGACTAGATGATCCCTAGGGGTCCCTTCCAGCTCTGCCGTTCTAAGAGGATGATGACAATTCTGGGAGTTGGAAGTCCAAAAAGCACAAATCTGAACACTTCTAATGGTCAGGGGAAAGGCCAAAATTATCCTCCCAGTTTCCTTTCGAGAATCTTCTTCTTCTTCTTGATGGTTGTCCCTTTATGTTGCGCTTTTTGACATCTAATTGTGGTTTTGTGCTGCTAATTTTTTTTTGTTTTGTAGCCCCCTTTGTGTGTGCTGAAAAAAAGAGAACAGTCTTCACACGACATCCCGTAGAGGTGGGTAGATTTGTACTTTTTTGGACCACTGCACCCAGAATGTGGATGCTGGAGGACTCTGGGGTTTCTCTGGCTGCGGAGCCAGAGGTTGACGGTTCGATTCCGTGGTGGGCCTCCTCGATGGGGGCTGGACTGGATGATCCCTGGGGGTCCCTTCCAGCTCTGCCGTTCTAAGAGGATGATGACAATTCTGGGAGTTGGAAGTCCAAAAAGCACAAATCTGAACACTTCTAATGGTCAGGGGAAAGGCCAAAATTATCCTCCCAGTTTCCTTTCGAGAATCTTCTTCTTCTTCTTCTTGATGGTTGTCCCTTTACGTTGCGCTTTTTGGCACCTAATTGTGGTTTTGTGCTGCGAATTTTTTTTTGTTTTGTAGCCCCCCCCCCCTTTAAAAAAGAGAACAGTCTTCACAGACTGCAGACTGGGACCCGTGGGGATGGCTGAAGCCAGTCGACTTCAGCACCCTGGAGAGCGCCTGTAAAGTTTAGGTTAAAATCTTGCTCGTCATGCAACTTTCTCTTACGGGCCATTTTCCAGAGATGTTGCCCTTCTCAGAGTGACCGAGCCAGTTGGGCTGAGAATTTTCATCAGAACCATTCAGAGAGCACTAAGTTAAGGGTTATTGATTTCCTTCCTGGCATTTTTGCCACAGAGCCTCGTGGCGCAGAGGTTAAAGTGCCATACTACAGTCGAGACTCTACTCAGGACCTTAGGTTGAATCCCAACAGACTCAGGTAGCCAGCTCAAGGTTCACTCAGCCTTCCATCCTTCAAAGATTGGTAAATTGGGTATCCCTCTTGCTCCAGGGGAGGAGGCAGTGTGTGGCCTATATAATGACATTGTATACAGCCCAAAGAGTGGTTTAAGCGTTATGTGTTGGTCTGTAAGCAGCACGCTTTGCTTTGGCTTTGCTTTGATCTCTCCCCACCCTACCCTCTACCCTTGCAAAATCTTGGTTCTACAGAAGACCCCAGTTAGGAAGGGATGGGAGATGCTAGGCCTGGGTGTGTGTGTGTGTGTGTGTGTGTGTGTGTGTGTGTTTTGCTGGAGCGCCAGGCCATCCAGAATAATAGCCGGGGCTATGGGACGTCAGAGCAGCAATTCATTCTTGCATGTCCTGCGCTGTCTGTCTCCCTGGGCAGGATCGCCGAGGTGGCCGGCTACACACCTGAAGATTTGCTTGGCTGCTCCATGTATGAATATATCCATGCCCTGGACTCCGATTCTGTCATCAAGAGCATCAACACCCGTAAGTTGGACCCGCCCTGAGCCTTGCCTGTTTTCCTTGCCCTGGTTTTTCTGATCCTGCTTTTGGGATAAATTCTCCCTGCAGCAAAAGAAAAAGGATCAATTGAAAAGAGAGAGAAATTGAAGAGAACTTCCTTGCTTGATAGCCAGCGCAGTCCAGTAAAGGGTGCAGTTATTGCGGACAGCGGTCATTACAGTACTGTGATAGCCTTGGCTGTCCATCCTTAGAAATCAAGGGTGCTAGTCCTCATGGTGGTTACGACGTAGAGGCGATCTGTTGAAATTTTAGAAAGCCAGAAAACAGCTGGGGGTTGCTGGCTCTACCTTTCTCTTAGTTCTCTAGCCCGCAGCTGGTTCAAGCAGAGCAAATGATGCAGAATGTACGCCACGTTCATCTTCATCCAGCATCGTGAGTAGGAGGCTTCAGCAGAACCTAGCTGTGTGTACACCTACACACACAGTACGTTGCCCAGAACGAAGAGGAGATTAATGAACTGATGGCTAGGCTTTCAGTTCATTGGATCTACTTTTTAAAAAAATATACCTCAACCTGGAATCCGGACCCCAGAGGACCTTTGCACCCTCTAGTTTCACATTCACTCCCATGACCTGTTTTACAGCGCATGGTGGGGGTCTTCTCTTTTTTCCCCCTGAAGCTGGAAGTAATTTCTGATCAGTGTGTACTGTATCTGCAGGTAGTAGCTCTGCCATGTTCTTCTGGCCCAGCTTCTTTTAATCCAATCCAAACATAATGTGTTCATTTGTGTGTGAACAGAACCAGTCCCTATCATTTTGGAGACCAAGAAAAGCAGGGAAAGTCATACGCTGTTTTATGTGGTCCCGGTTTCTCTTGCATCCCCACCTAGCCTGTGATCTGTAATTTCAGTTGGTATGCATATTTTCCCTGTAATTTCCTCTTGTATTCTTGCTTCCTGTCCTTCCCTCCCTTGCTAGAGGCAGAAAACAGGCTGAGTTATAAAGTGGCTGGCGGGAAAATGAACCTCCCGGTTTCTCTGCGATGTTATCAGACCCGTCTAAAAGTCTCAAATTCCTGACCACCTTTCCAGTGAAGATTCTCGTGGTGCCTTTCAAGACATCATGAACAATAACATCCTTAATTTACATAAAGCAAATTAAACCAGGACCCTTTGCAGGAACCCGGCTGTTGTGTGAACTGAGATAACATTTTGCAACGGCCAGCGATGGTGAACGAGCCAGCTAGGCCGTTAACGGGGCACAGCAGACATTGCTCAATATCTAGAACAAAGCGAATTTGTGGTTTTTGCATTTTCACCCTCAACACCCTTCAAAGTTCAGAAAAAGTTCAAACGACACAGGGTTTTGGGTTTTTTAAAAATTCTGTCTGCACTACAAACTTATATTTGTTTTGCATGTGTCTTTATTTATCACGGCTTTTCCCAAAGAATCTTGAAAGCTGTAATTTAGGGAGATATGGGTCAGGCTCTCTGTTGTATTCTTGGTTTTTAACATCTGCGTCCATACATGATAGTTCCAAAGCTTGTCAGGGTAGAGAGGATGACTTATAAACTAGCGTTAAATCACACAGATGTTCCCCTGGAGGTGTGATTTCTAAAAATGAGCCTGGTGCAGTGATAGGAAGCCTTCAGCTTTCCAGATGTTTTGGCCTTCAGGTCTAGAAACTTGAGCCGTCATGGCCACATGTGAAGGGTGGGGCAAGTTGTATTCTAAATCATCTCGAGGGCCAAAGGTCCCAGAACCACCTGGAGGGTGGCAAGCTGGTTAAAGGACAGGTAATTCTGTGTCAGCTGACTAGATAGATCAGTGGTTTAGGCGTCTGAATGTGGAGCCAGAGGTTGGGAGTTTGATCCCCTTACGGTGCCTCCTGCAAGTAGAGCCAGCCTGGGTGGCCTTGGGCCAGCTGCACACAGTCCCAGGAAGCCCCCCCCCCCCAGAAGAAAGGAAAGGTAAACCACTTCTGAGTTTTAACCTACCTGGAAAATCCTAGAAAAGGTTGCCAGAAGTCAGCATTGATTCAATGACATAAGATTATTATTTAATAAAGGTTTTGCCTGCTCCTGCATCTGTGTCTTGTAAGGACCTGTACAGAGCCTTTTTCTAATTTTTTTTTCTGAACAGTTGGAAATAAGTTCATCCAAATGACTTCCAAGAGTTAGGGTGCTTTTGTCAACAGTTGAAACCCAAGGTGGTTTGTTGTCTCTACTTGGAACACCCTGAAAAAGTCAGAATTCACATCAGGAGGAGGAAGAGGAGGATTATGATGATGATGAATACTGTGTCAGGTAGTGCAGGAACCAAAGCCACCCTTGTCATCGTTTCTGAGTCTGAAAACAAGGAACTTCTGGAAAAAAAAAACATTGCGAGAGCAAGCGAGCATCGTGTTCCACCTTCCGGTCCCTCCCTCTCTCCCAGCTTATCCGTTTGTCTGTCTGTTCTAGACTGTCTGTGTTTCACTTCCTATTGGTAGTGCTGAGCAAGGGGCAGGCAGTGACAGGCCAGTACCGCTTCTTGGCCAGGAACGGCGGCTACCTGTGGACCCAGACGCAAGCCACGGTCATCTCCAGCAGCAAAAACTCACAGCCAGAGAGCATCGTCTGTATGCACTCAATCTTAAGGTGAGATTCCAAGGAAATGGGGGTGGCGAGCGGTCTTTCCCTACAGCGGAGGAAGAATCCTGGAAATTGGGGTGAGGTTTATAAGAAAGGTGACAAGACAGTCAATTGATTGGTGGGTTTTAGTGGGTCATCATGCCCCACAAGGTGGAGTTTTATTCTTCATTAGATCTCCTCTCATCTTTCCATTAAAAAAATGCTCATCGTAGTGATGAACAGACATCACTAAAACAATTTTTTAAAGCTTTTAATTGTAAAAGACATGCAAATGATCTCAATCATAAAACCAGTTTCAGAGCCTAGAATGGAAAATTGGTGCCTTCATTGAAGATCTGAGTTTTTGGACTGCACTCCTTAGAATTTTTGCATAGAGGATTCTAAGTGTTGTGGTCCAAACAACAACAACATTAATCTGCAAGCAGGTTCTTAGAATTTTTGCGTGGAGGATTCTATTTGTTGTGGTCCAAACAACAACAACAACAACATTAATCTGCAAGCAGGTTGTCTTCATACACACCCTGAAAGCAGCAGTAGTGGAAACTGTGGTCATGACTCCTTAGAGTAGGGAGTTCTTCAATCTAAGGGCAGCACAGAAGTCCTTGGGAAAGATACGTTTCTGAATCAGTGCTCCCGGTACACCCAGCCACCCTGCTGGGCCTCTGGCTCAGTGGGGAGTGGAGTGGAGGATGATGCCAACTCAATGCTCAAGGTAATGTTTGCCTTGACACCTTTTTACAGCCAGGTGGAGGAGAAGGGCTTGGTTCTTTCCTTGGAGCAGACCGACCGGCAAGGAGAACATCGCCGGCTGCCTCCACCTTGCCTCGAAGGACTGGACTCGGATGGAACCCTGGATGAGTTGGATCCCAACGGAGGAGACACGATTATCAATCTCAGCTTTGGTATGTGACGGGTGGCGCTGGCAGGATTTGGCCAGTCAAGGGAGGGTTGGGCAGGTGATCCCCGAAAGGTCCACAACATGACACCTTGGCTCAGATTTTGCAAACTAAGGGTTGCGGCATCTTTCATTGACTCTGTCCATTTGCAGTCTCCCTCTTTTCCTTCTGCCTTCAACTTTTCCTACCATTATTGTCTTTTCCAGTGAGCCTTTTCTTCTTACGATAATGCCCAAGTACAGCAGCCTGAGTTTCACGTTTTTAATTCTAGAGACAGATTCAATCGAGCACTCACTCCTTATAATGCCCAAGGTACAGCAGCCTGAGTTTCGCGTTTTTAATTCTAGAGACAGCTCGAGACAGATTCAATCGAGCACTCACTCCTTTGTCTGGCATAATTTTCCCTATCTGATAACTCCAGAATCTAAAGAGGTTCTCCACTGAAGCTGAATGATGGGAGATTCAGGGCAGGTAAAAAGATGCCCCCTTCTGCGCTTGGGATACAGTTCAACTGTGGAACTCCCAGCCACAAGGGGTGACTGCCAATAGAGTGGGCTTTAGAAGGAGATGGGATGAGATTCGTGAAGTTAGGGCCATCCACAGTTACTAGTCAAGACGTGTGTACATCTCCTCCAGAAACAAAGGCTTCGGTAGATCAGCTACCCAGAACATGAGAAAGAGGGTGCAATTGGAGTCACCTGTTGCTGGTGAGCCGGTCGACATCTATGTGAACAGGATGCTGGACAAAAGGATCCTTTCATCTCTTTTGCTATTTCTGGCCCTCTTCAGTACTGCTGCTCTCCCTCTTTCCCCAGAGCTGCGTGGCCCCAAGATTCTGGCCTTTCTGCGTCCCGCAAACATCAGCGAAGAAGAGTTACAAATGGACCCCAAGCGGTTTTGCAGCCCTGACCTTCAGAAACTCCTGGGCCCCATCTTTGACCCTCCGGGGACCCAGAACTCTCAAGCAGGGGGGACTTCCCGGGCAAAGCCGCCGGCCCCGCCTCCCAAGTTGGCTTCCGTGGCCAAGAAAGCTTCTGGAAACAACAGCTCAGTAAGGAGACGGTAGAGTTAATCCCCAGGAGGGTGTATGTGTGAGGGGGGAGTCAAAGGATCTTGCAAGGCGCAGTGATTCAACTGCAGTACTGCAGCCAAAACTCTGCTTGTGACCTGGGTTCAATCCGAGGTAGGCGGCTTGAGGTTCACTCAGCCTTCCATCCTTCCGAGGTCATTAAAATGAGTTTACAGATTGGGGGGGGGCAGCAATGTGTAACCTGCATCATTAAATTTTAAACCGCCCAGGGAGTGCTTTAAGTGCTGTGGGGTGGAATATAAGCACCACACTCTGCTTTGCCTGTTTCTGTTACGGAAGACGTCAATCCAGCTGGAATGTGGGATTATCTTATTGGGAGGGAATATGGCCTTGCTCTATTATGGGATATATGATGTGGGACAGCAGGACTGTGCCCGGACTGTATTTCTCATCTTGTAATGAGCTGGCCCTGTAAGAAGTTGGCTTTCTTTGAATTCCGGGAAACTGGGGGCGGGGGGGGGGAAATACTTGATTCTATTTTGTTGTGGTAGAAACAAGACACAAAGCAGGAATATCTACCCCAAACTTCTCCTTCCCCCCCCCCCCACCCCCAGGCTGATCTGCCAGAGGAACTGCTTTTTGACATGGGGAATGTCCAGAAGCTTTTTGCTTCTAACAAGGAGGCGCAAGCGATGGAGACAGAACTTCAGGTACGGCTGGTGGTTGTTGGGAAGGGGTTTGCCTTGACCTGTGTGGATATATTTGGCTTAGGACTGCATTCCATATTTTACAATAGCTCCCTTTTTCATTTATTTATTTTTTAAAAAAAATCATGTTTCTAGTCCTTAAGATTGTCAAGATTTCCCAAGCCTGAAAGGGAGCCTTTTGGGATGGCTGGGTTGGTCTAAATAGGGTTGCTAGAAGTCACAGCAGAGGTCTGGTATGCCTTTTGGCACGATCCTTCGAGCGACCCTGCAGTATGGCCTGCCCGTCCATAGTATTGGGATCTGCGGTTTCACTTATCCTGGGATTGCTACCGCTCTGTATGTGGCAAGCCAGGACCTCACGACAACTGTGAGGCAGAATGTATGAGATGCCTAAAAACAATCCTTTAGGCTCTTTAGATCCATTAAATCTTTATTGTGCCTAGATCAATGTATCTCAACCTGGTGGCTGTCAGCCCCGAGGGCCGTCACGAAGTGGTTTCTGGGGGCGAGTCATAGGTTGTAGCCCTTGTTTAATGATTTCTAACTTTTAAGTTAGCATGCATGTATGAGGAACTGGCACTTGGGGAGAGAAAGAAGCCTCCGCCTTCTGAGAAGGGATGACTTTACCTCATTAAAAAGGGGATGTATGAGGAACTGGCACTTGGGGAGAAAAAGAAGCCTCTGCTTTCTGAGAAGGGATGACTTTACCTCATTAAAAAGGACTTTCTCTGCAAACATGGCTATGGGGGGGTGTCACAGGTTAGTTGGCTATGATAAAAGGGGGCCACGACTTGAAAAAAGGTTGGGAACCACCGGGCCTAGACTAGTACAACATTTTGCAAAAGTACAGTGGGACCCCCTTATCCACTGATTCACTTATCTGCGGTCCGAAAATATTAAAAGGAAAAAAAATCCAGAAACGATCTGCGGTCCGAAAATATTAAAAGAAAAAAAATCCAGAAAAAGCTATTTCTACACGTATTATCAGAACGGGCTACTAGAGGGAGCCAGAGACTCTGCTAGGAATACTTGTTAGTGTAGAATACATGGCATTGTCTCTGGTGCCATCTTGTCACCGGTTCTGGTAAAGCATATGAAAAAATATTTTTCTGGGTTCCCCCCCCCGCTATATATGTAGTGTTTGCTATTATCCCCGGTTTTCAGTATCTGCAAGGGGAGCTTGGAACCAACAGATACGGGGGTCCTACTGTGTTCTACGGGAGACATATTCGTTTGAGAAATCTCTCCAGCCCTTGAAGTATACCTTTCGGTGGCTGCCAATAATTCGGTGCTGCTCCTTCCAGGATTACGAGGGCCTCGACCTGGAAATGCTGGCCCCCTACATCTCTATGGACGATGACTTCCAGCTTAGCAGCACCGACCACCATCCGCCTTGGCTGGCAGAGAAGCGGGGAGACCCCGGAGCCGCCACCCGGCCGGCCTCGCCACCCCCGCGGCCTCGTTCCAGGAGCTTCCACGGGGTGTCGCCGCGCCCGCCAGAGCCAGCCACCCTCCCTCGCTGGGGCAGCGACACCAGCCTGAGTCAGACCCGTCCCGTCCAGCTACCAGGGGGTAACGAGTGCGCTGCTGAGCAGGTGGTGGAGATGGTGGCATCGGTCAAGATTCAGTCGGTGCAGGAAGGGACAAACGCCAACGGGCAGGGCGCCTCGGCTGGGGGAAGAAAGAGGTGAGGAGGTGGACGTCTCTAAAGATTTTTTCTTTAAACCATGCAAGAAAATGAAAGATTTCTGAGCTGCAGGAATGGTACACAGGGACAATGGGGAATTACTCATTTCGTTGTGATGGTCGTTATTTTCCTAATATCTGTACTGCCCGGAAAATCTGCAAAGAATCTTGTGCTGGTTTAGGGACAGAAAGCAAAGAGCATCCTCAGCAGTCAATCTTTGGAAAGCACAGAACTCCTCCAGAACAAGGGGTCAGCCCTCAGCTGAGCCGAGGATGTCGAGAGTATTGCTCTCTTGTCTGGACTGAGTCTCTGTCTCCTGGCCCACACCCTGCCCATTCCTGGGCTCAAATGGGGATTCGGAGCATCTGCGGTGCTTCCGGTTTTTAACCGAAATATCAAGGAGAGCTGGGTGTCCCTCCAGCTCTCCAGATCAGGTCTCCCAGAACTTTCATTGTCATTATTAATGTTCATTTTAATTTCTTTATTCTGGCTCACAGAATTTTGCAGCTAGCCTCTTAAGCCCTGTTTTGGCTTGCTTGCCTCCGCTCTTAAAAACCGCTTTTGCTGTGTCCCTTCACAGGGCCCGGGAGCTGAGTTTGGAAGAGGAAAGGGACCTCTTCCTGGAGGCTGGGCCCCCGAAGCGTGCCCATGGCCACCACGAGCCTGAAGGCTTTCTGATGCCCTCCTTGAGCCTGGTATGTGCCGAGAGGGAACCGCCGGTGGGGTTCAAAAGGGTCTCTGTGATCAGCTTAGCCACGGAGGATGGATCCGGCGCATACGCCTGGGCCGTGAGAGGTTGCCAGGATCAGGAGCGTTCTTCCTTTATCCTTCCAGGGTTTCCTGTTGAGTGTGGAAGAGTGCCTGGATGCCAGGTCCGAACGGGGCTGCGGAAGCACCTTGGCTTTGAGCAGGAAGCTTCTTTCTCTAGAGGAACCCATGGGTGAGTACCGCAAAAGGCCCAGAAGGAATTTACACACTGCCGAGCGAGTGGATTGAAAACTGGCCACCTGTCTTCAAGTGGGAATCCTGTACGATGGAGGGCAGAAAGATCCAAAAATTTCAGCTCTGGTGAAATCCTTGAGCCGCGTCAGTTCTCTTGGTTTTGCCTGATGAGTTTTTTGTCTTTATTTTTGTTTTCAAACTGGCTGGATTTCTGTTGCTTTGTGTGTGTGTGAATAACAACACATTTGCACCGTAGAAGCTCCATGTCAGGTGTGTGGAACGCATAGGGCTGCTTGGTGGCCGGAACCGTCCTCCGCCTTTGTTTCAAGGAGAGCAGACGCCCGGGTCTCAGCAGCTTCTCTCTCGTTTAACTCCCGCCTGCTTCTCCCCCCCCCCTCTTTCTCTCTCTTTCTGCCCTCTGCCTTCCAGGCCTCCTCGGGGATGTCCTGCCGTTCGTGGTGGACGGGCCCGCGCTCTCCCAGCTGGCGCTGTACGACGGGGAGGACGAGGGCTCCGTGCGGGGGGGAGAGCACTTCCAGCTCGGAGAGGAACTCCTGGTCGAACTGGACCAAGCCACCTGAGAGGGGAGCCACCTGAGAGGACCACCGCCGCACCTTTCATCCGACACTCCTGCTGCGCAGCCGGGACAGACGGAACCAAATCCAAGCCCCAATCATCCATGAGAGGCCGAGGGAGACAGGGCTCCTTTGCCTTCCTCCTCCTCCTCCTCTTCCTCTTCCTCCCGGGCCTCCCCAGCTCCCAGCCTCTGCCGCCCCACCCCCTTGGATCTCTTCCTACCTCAGTCCTGTTCCCCTCCCCGGGCAAGCCTCTCCTCTCTGGAGGTGGCGAGGAAGGAGGTCCCCGCCGAACGCCGGAGCCTGCGTCCTTAAGACCTGAATGCCTGCTACCCAGCTCCATCCCCATTTTGGTGCTTGCATGTCCTCTTTAACATGTTCCGGAGGCGGGGTAGCGGCATAAAAAAAGGGTTCCTTGACGCCACTCCGTCCAGCGTCAGTGGGGAAGAGACCATTATCGAAAACTCCCCAAGTGGAGAAGGGAACGCCATAGTGTGATTTCATAAAATATTCCTCCTTCCCCCCGTGGAGTGATCAGGGCATCCTACAGAGGTACTGCGGGCTCCCTCAAAAGACAAGGCGTAGCTTCCGTTACGCTCTCCCCTTTCGGCTGCCCTTGGCTTTGACCAACACCTCAAAGGGGGTCTAATTTAGGGGTCTAATCAATGGGGCAAACCGCCAGCACCATGCCCGTTTCCCCAACTTCTCGCATGAAGCCACCCGTTCTTGAAGAAACTGGGAGCGCTCAGTCTTAGGTGGTCAATGCTCGGCTTGACCCCTAGAGATGAAAATGACAGCTAGATATCCTAGAATCCTTCAGGTGTCTCTTTGGCAGTAGCACCTTGTTAATTTACCTCAGCGATGCTCTTAACTTTTAGGGCAGGCGCCCAGTGCCTATTACAGGCACTTTTGAGTCACCCGAGGGGGAAAGTTATGGCCTGGGTAGAGGAATCGTCACTCCTCTTGCTATGTCGTCCAAATAATTTTTTTTGGAAATGGCCGAAAATTATGTCCCCCCCAAGAGAGGAAGTCACATCAGTGGTTCTAACCTTCTGACCCCGTTTAAGGCCACTTTATAGTGACGTTTACAAAATATGTTTAATTGCTTCTGAGAATCATGGCCACTTAATTTAAAACGTGGAGAAAAATTAATGGAGGGAACTGGAATAGTTTTTCTTAGAAAAGCTATTTTCAAAATGGCATCTTATATCTGGTTCATCGTGCAGTGAAGATGTTTCCTGCTCCTGAGAAGACCCCTCTGCGCCCCTTTTGCTTTGTTGCCACGTTAGGATTTTAATTTTCAAGATATTTTTTAGTTCCTTGACTTTCTCGAATAGTGAACAATAGATGACAAAAGCAAAACCCAAGTACTGGGTTCTCACTAAGAAGGAACTAAAACAATGGCTGAAATCCTGTTGTGCTGTTAAGCAAATAACGTAACTTTAGGAAGCAGATTGCCATTAAGTTGCAGAGTCTCCCTCGAGATGATCTGTTGTACCTTGAGACGCACAACTTAGGAGGAGATGCCTACGGAGATCTCTTAACTTGACTGCAATCTGCATTTAAAAGTTAACGCTGTTTGCGTAACTCCGCCACAGGATTTCAGCCACGGAGTTTTCTAAATCCTGAACTGTGATTTTAAAACCCTCTGTGATTTTAACCCTCACTGTGATTTTAAAACCCTAATCTAGAAGGCCACTTTTAGAAGAATTTTTATTTTTTTTTTACAATCTTGAAGCTTTTAAGGACAATCTTGAAAAAGCAGGTTTCCTGAATTTGAAGGGAACAGCTAACCTGTTATTTTTGGAAATCTAAAGATGGGCAACCCAGGCCTAAGATCTTGGGTTGCTGAACAAACCTTGAGTCCAGTTCAAATTAATATGAACTGGGATCCACCTAATAATACCTTGCTAGGAGGTGGCAATTTTTGTTTTCCTGCTGAAACAACGTGGGAATTAGATTTTTAAAGAAGAAATCTGGGGTGAGGAGAGGTTGGTGCCCTGATCCTAAATCTTCTCATTCAGAAGTAGGTTTCATCTAAATCAAGAGGACTGACTTCAGAATAACAGTGTATAGGACAGAGTTTGAAAAACAATTTTTTTTCCAGGCTTTAGTTATTGAAGTTTCTGTCCTCCCCCCCAACCATTCCATTGTATTGCCTGATGTTATGCATGTTTCTTCTGAAGTAGGTCTCATTGAGTAAGATGATTTTACTTCTAAGACAGCATGCTTTGGAGTTGAAACTCCAGCTCCATCATGCAACAGCGGCACGGAAAGGTAACTTGTTCTTAGGCCCAGTGAAGAAATATTTTGTGATGGAGCGTCCTAACCCCATCACAGAAAAAAAAAGTTACAGAAGTTTGGCTTTGTAACCGACCTTTTGTGCTTGAAAATAAGTTACCTTCCCCTTCTGCTCAGAGAAGAGTTCTGTGTAACTCAAAACCCTGCATACTCCTGCACTAGCAAAAATGGTCGAACAATTGCATTGCCTTAGCTCTTTTGTATCCTTTGATATAAAAGGCCCACAGTAATATTAGCTGACACTCATGGTAGGGTTGCCCCTGATTTTATGAGGGATGGGCGCCTCTGTCTGTAATTGTTCCCCAGAAGAAAGAATACTGGCAAATTTTGCTTTGCTCCTTGTAGCATTACACTGTGAGGCAAAGCATCATTTGCTCCGATTCTACTAAGCAGGCAACTGTGTTAAAATCATAGGAACCGTTCCACACGAGAAAGCAGGCAACCCTAGTTCTTAAGCCCATTTGGTGGTGGGGGAAAAAAAATTCCCCAGTAGTCTCGGTTTAAAAACAAAAAGGCAAAATCTCGTTTTCGTTCCCCCCCCCCGGAGCCGACCCGCTGAAGTGAATGAGATTCGCTTAGTCGCTAATAATTTCAGTAGGTCTGCTCTTCATGGGAATGGGCGTCGGATTCTGCCCACAAAGCTTGCTTTATTATTATTATTATTATTTTTTAAAATCTCAGTTTTTTCACCCTTGCTGTCGTTATACCCCTTTCACCACAAACTTCCACAGAGGAGTTTGTGAGTTAAAGCTTGGATTTGACACCCGTTCCCGAACCGAGCTTACATCAACGCGATCCACTGCTTTTTCCCCCCCCCTGCTGTGCAAACGTCTTGGAGGAGAAAACAGAGCGTAGGAGACAGTGTAAGCTAAGCCAGTGTTTCTCACCAGTTCCTCAGTTGTGTGTGTTTGTGTGTGTGAGAACAGGATCACCGGTCTGGCCGTTGGCGGCCGGGCCATTTCACTGTCCCTCGGCTGAACTTGCGAGCTGAGGAGGAGACCCCCAGAAGGTGTATCTACATTCCCTAAAGAGGGGGGTTTCTGTCCCACTTTAGCCAGCGTGGAATTCTGAGTTTTAATATTTGGCAAGCGACTTAAGATTTTCGGCTAGAATCGAGGGGCGTAGACGAGAACGTACTAACTCAATTCTAAGTAGCTCCCCAAATGTCAAACCTCAGGGTCCCCGAGGATGGAGATCAGGTGGTTAAAACAACATTAGGACGATGAGAACTGAGCCGTACAGGTACACCTTGGGGGTTCCCCGGTTGGATAGCAAGCAACAGGGAGATGAAAAAAAAAGAAGAAAAGAATTAACCCAGACGCTTATCACAAGCCTTCCTTTGCTGGAGCTGTTCTATCTCTCTTCCCGCAAAACCCCCAGTAACGGGGACAGCTTGCTGAGGGACCCATCCAGTGGCTAGACAGGGCTCCCTAGAGGTGAGGGTACCCCCGGGGTGCATCCCGGGACGAAACTCTATGCACATGTCTGGCAGTCCCGCCCTGTGGCGCTTGGGAAGCCGGGACTGCGTTTCAGGTGTTTAGCGAAACGCCCGTCGTTTGAGACCCGTCGGCTCCTGCTTCCAACTCAATCTGGGGCCGCCCGTCTTGCGAAAACCAGAAAACCAAAACCGGGTGCGATCAGGCTCCTTCGCGGGCCAGCAAGGTGGCGAGAGAGCCTGTGGGTTGGGTTTTTTCTTTCTTTCACCTCCCTATTTGGTTTTTCCTGACGAGCTGCTTTGGGAATTGCCGTCTTAAGAGGGGTCGACCGTACCCCCCCACACACACACACCACTTTTGCCTCGTTCCTCGCCATTCACCTGTGCCTTCGCGTTTGAAAAAGCCAGCACCCAATTTTCAAGCAAGGAAAGGCCTCCCAACCTGACCGTCTCCCGCCTCCTTCGGGTGGGCGAGAGCGGCTGTCGGTGGCACGGGAGAATGGAGAAAATAATAATAGTAAAACCAGGGGCTGCAGATCTTCCTGTTTTCCACAAGCGAGGAAGAAGAGGGACGGGGTGTGTGTACGCGTGCACAGTACTCTTCTGTGTCTACCTCTCCGTTCCTAACATGCTTCCTCTTCCTACGTTTGTCCTGCCTCCTCTTTGCTTTTCCTTTCCAGGAAAACCAGGAGGTTGGGCGCGAGGGGGCAAAAGAGGCCTGCGGAGGGACCCGATCCTCGTCCGGCACCGAGATCTTGCACCCCCCCAAGACGGCTCAATGTCCCAGCGAGCCACACACACATACACACAATCCACTGATCCACACAAGCGCACCAGTGCATGCACATGCACACAGAGACACACACACACACATACACAAGCACGACGGGCCGCGTTCGGCTCAGGCAGCTGTTTCTCAAAAAGCCGCACTTGATAAGACGCACAGAACAATAGAAAAAAAATATATATCTCTATCTATCTCTCTCCAAGCCAGGTGAAGAACACGGGATGTTGCGTCTCTTTCTCTCTCTCTCAATTTCTCTCTTTCCTTTTGTTTTGTTTAATTGTGACAATTCTTCTAATTGTTTTTATTCCTCCCCGTTGTGTATGTTTGTGTGCGGAATAGGGGCTGTGCTTTCTTCCCCTTTCCTCACCCGTCCACTGTTGATTTTCCTTTCTTTCTTTTTTTTTTTTAAAAAAACATGTTTTCATTTCTTTCAGAGACTGTGGTGAAATGATCATGGCACCGTTTTATTCTTGTTGATGTTGCTGATTGTTGTTCCTGTAGGGCTGTAGCTTTTTAATTTCTTGTCCGCCCCCCAGAAGCCTGATGCTGTGACCACTGCCACCACCCTCCTTTGAATTTTAATCAGTCCTGCTACTTTTTAATTTACTTTTTTCCTTCTTTTTTTTTTTAAAGGGGGAAGCATTGTGTCTCTGTCTCCCTCCCTCTCTCATGGCCAGAATTTATTCCACCCGGGACCATCATCTGTTTTTTACATGGCAGCTTTCCCCCCTCCCCGCTCTGTGATAATCTCTCCTGCCACGCCAACTTCTGGGGACATGTCATGCCAACGGAGCATGAGGTGCTAAACGACACACCAGTTATGGTGTTGTGTCCCTAGGAGAAGTTTTCAGGCCACGCTGTGGCTATGGTGCTCTTGTTGCCCACGTGGCAGTTGCTAGCTTACACAGAGCAAATGGCGGTCCTCGTCTCCTTTCCGCCATCCTTCCCCCCCCCCAATTGGTGATGGCTAGGAGCCTTTGCCAAGTGCAGTGGTGCCCGGGTCACGCCTAAAGGCAGTGGCTAGACCACGCAGAGGCTATGGTGCTAGGCCACGTAGAGCTTTGTGCCCGCTCCCTGCCTGTCCAGATTGCATTCAGATCTGCATGAATGGCAGGATTCGAATAGGCCACCCTGGAGAACCGCTCCTGTGCTGTTTCATGGCGGGATGTTAAAAAAGAGCAAACAAGGAACGGAAGTCTCAGAATGCCACAATATATAAACAGACACCCCAAAGGTTCCGTCTGGAACTTAAAAGCATGTTCAGCCGCCCTTTTTGAAAGACTCCGGACTTTCAAATATACGCACATTTCATAGCATTAGACTGGATGTCTTTGCCCACCGTGCAGTCCGGAGTCTTTCAAAAAGGGCAGCTGAACGTGCTTTTAAGTTCCAAATGCAACCTTTGGGTGTTTGTTTTGGAAACTAGGTTAAGAACCCCCTGAGTCCCCTCCGTGCCCCAAAGGAAGAATCCAGAATACACGGTGGGATGATATGACTTTAAAATGGCTGGGATCCTGTTGGACAAAACTTTACATCCCACGGTAGAGGTGCAAGTGGTTCCCCTTCTTTGCCAGATTGAGTTTTTCTTTTCTTTTTTGCTCATCTGGGATGCGTGACTGATTCCGCAAACGGCCGAGAAAACTGCATCTGTACGAGGGAAGCCACTGGCACAGTTCCATTTGCGCCTGTGGTTTAGGGGTGGCATTCTAAGATTCAACCCCTTGTCGACGTTTGCTACGACTGCTTTTCCAGGGTCGGATCCTAGCCGGGAGCCTGGCGATTGCTCCCGTCGAATTCTCCCACGGGGCCTGGCAAGCAGGTCTTAGAAGGCAGAGGGGCATCCGTAGGAAGGCACAGGGAAGGTGGCAACCCCTCCTTGACTCCAAAAACCCAGTCCTCTGGTCTCTAGCAAGGCAGTCGCTCAGCTGCTAGCGAGGCCCCGGTGCTCCGTCCCACCGTGACCGTGGTGGGGACGGCAGGGTCAAATAAGAGACCACGGACTTCTTCTATTCCCTCTGACGTGGGTGGCTAGATTCCCGATTTATGGCACTTGGTGAGTCGGCTGAAGCCATTAGGAAGAGATCACGTCGGTCCCGGGACAAAACAGGCGTGTAACAGAGACACAACCCCCCCTCCCTCCCCTCTGGCCACGCTTACAAACGCACATGGCTCTCCTCACTCCGAAATATCTGTCATGCCAGCCGGCACTCAATCCGTGGCTTTCAAACAACCTTCTGGCAAACTTCAAGGGTTGTTCCCTGGCACCAAACCCACAGGGAGGAGCAGATGGCCCTTGGGTGCGCTCTGCAACCGTGGTTCTCCCGTGTTGGCTTGCCACCTGTTTTGGACTTCAGCTGCCCAGAGCCTTGGCCAGTGTGAGCCATGGGCAAGGATTCTGGGAATTGTAGTCCTTCCACACCTGGGGACCCAAGGTGGGGAACCACTGTTCTCAACCCCACACTCAATTGCCTTTAGGTGACTTGTGCAGGCAGAGGCTTTGAAACGTGGTTTGCAGAACCCACGGTAGTCTGGAGAAGGGTCCTCTGAAGGTAGAGAAGGATTTTGGAAGCCACTGGATTGATGCTCTCACGCAAGACGAGACCTTGGCCTTACAGATTCAAAAACAGAGGCCTGCTACACCTTTAAGTGCCTCCTGCTGAATTCCCGGTTGAGGAATGCCAGAAAGCCTCTAATTAACAATACATCTGGTAAAAGTTCAGGGCACCCGTTTGGCTACAACTCTGTAGGTCAAGATTGCCTTCACTCTGATTTATCTGACAGGCCGCCTTTCGTTGGCCATCCGAGACTCTAGAAACCCCAGGGGGCAACTTGTGGCCCTCCAGTTGCTAATGTACTACAACACCCATGTTTCCTTACCATGGGCAAACAGATAAGAGTGCTGATGGGAGCTTAAGACCAGTTGTATCCAGGAGGTGACACGTCTTTAAAGCTGCTGTAGTCTGATAGAAGTCGCAAAAAGCACACAACTGTCCTTGAGCTAAAATAAGGTAGAGTGGAAAAATTATTGGAAGGTGGGGAAAACAGAAGGGGCCAGGATCACTCTGGAAGTCTAATAGGCATACTTGTGGATTAAAGTTTCAAAATCCGAAGGTTTTAATTCAAAGCATTGATAGTAGAGGGAATCCAGAGTGGCGTATCAGATTGGTATAAATGAGGAGTACTTTGGCACTTTTGAAGCCAGAGAACTGGATTCATTTAGAAGTAGCTCCATGGTTCTTTTTAGGGCCCAATTCTGCTAGGAGACAGCACTCAAGCATTCAGAAGGCGGGGATAGTCTTTTGAGCCGGATACTTCCACCCAGTTACTCACCTACCTTGGACGGTAAATAGGGTTTCTTGTGAGATGGTTACAGGGATTTGGAGTGGAACAGCCGCACAACTGCCGTAGAGGAGCAGCCCTCTTGCGCTTCAGACAGGTATTAGCTCTCGGTTTATCTGGCATTCCTTGTCCATAACACTCGGAATTAATCAGCAATTCATTAAGAGGTCTCCTGTCTTCAACCGGCGGTGAAATCAGAGCTTGCTGGCCATGACAAGGAAGGGTGAGGAGGGCTCTTTCAAAGGAGATCTGGTTGCAGGAGGCTTCAGTGTCTCTTTAAAGGCTTTGGGGATCTGTTTATATATAATTTTTTATATATCTTGTTTCTTGTTCCCTTGTGTATGGTTAATTTGTTTTTTTTCTCTGTGGCGGGATCAGGTTTAGCCCCTGCTGCATACAGTATGTATCGCTGTTGTGAAACATAAAGATAAGTCTCATAACATACCTTGGTTGTGTGTGTGTGTCCTTTTTCTTAAACAACAAAAAAAATCCAGCTTACATTAATTGCCTTTTCAGGTCAGCACAGCGTCTCTTGAATTGTAAATTCATTGTTTCTAAACTGGAATACGTGTGAAAAGAAACATGAATGGCCCACGATAAATCAGGGACATTGTTCCCTAAGTCAGTGGAGACCAGCCCTAAGAAATGTTTGAACTACTGTATCTCAAAGCAGCTATTTCACTCACAGGCATATCCCCGGTGTGCTTAGTTTCATTTTGGGGAAGATGATGAGCTAAACCCATTTTTTACATCGATATTTACCTTCCAAAAACAGCTATTTTTGGCCAGAATTCTATCTTAGGGTAGAAAAATGAACTGCATATATAGTGGTGCACAAGTTATTGTAGGACAATCCCAAGTGGGTGTGCATAGTTTTTCAACCTTCCCATCCACCAAATCTGGCAACAACTGCCTAGGGTAATCAAATTTATTTTCTAAACCTTTACCACCATCTACTGGTACAGCTGCAAATACACAAGCAATAAGCATATAGGATTGCAGACAAGCTGACCATAGAAGAAACACAAGCAATACAGGACAAGGTGGAGCTTGCTCTCTCGAATCCAAAGTGATGAAACTGAGGCTGTTGTACCTTGGGCACATCAGGAGAAGGCAAGATTCTCTGGAAAAGACAATAATGCGGAGAAAGGTTGAAAGTGGTAGGAAAAGAGGAAGACCAGCTGCGAGGTGGTTTAGCTCCATAAAGAAGCCATGGCCTTTGAGTTTGGAAGACACTGAGTAGGGCTGTTCAGGATCGAAGTTTTGGGAGGTTGCTCGTTCATAGGATTGCCATAATTAAGAAGGGAACTGATAGCAACCAACAGACAAAGGCAGGAGAGTGGAGTGACATTGGCAGCTGGACTGAGGCCTTATGTCCACTATGCAGCTGTGAACCAGACATTGAATACAAGCTAGTGAGGTTGCCCTGCTATAAAAAAAATGGCCAGCTTCAATTCAAGTCTACAGTTAGATCAATTCTCGATCCCTCAATTTTGATACAGCTGTACAATTCAATATTTGAGTATACACAGCTAAATGTATAGATAACTCATAAACAGATTATAATACATAGTTTGAAATACTATAATAACCAAACGCAGCAATGAAGCGACACTTTAATAGAAGAAAAAAGTTAAATCCGCAGACACAATGCATTGGACAAACGCTTCGGAGGCCAGCAAAAATCAGCCAAGATCATTCTGCTCCAACCCCCCCACTAGCACTATTGTAATTCGTGACGGGAGAGTTTCTCTTTCGAGCACACTTGGAGTCTGCTTCAAGTTTTTTTCCCCCCTTTTGAGATTCTCACTAACTGAGTTTTCAAAATGCCACATTCCAGAGGTCTATCCATCCACACATAACCCTCAGAAAAAAACATTGACGGGATCACCAGCCTTAACCTGCAAAACAAAACAAAACCTAGTTTCTCACTTTAATTCTGCACAAATTAACACTGGCGAACATGGCCCTGTTTTCCAGTATATTTACTCAGAACTGCCACCAAGCCTTTATGAGATGTAGGTATTCTGAGTTCATACCCAGTGTGGTGTACAGTTCTGGATGGAGTGATGGACCCAGGAAGCTCAGCCATGGAACCTCACTGGGGGCGTGAAACGGGAAAACCATTCATCTTATCTTGCCCTAATCAGGAGGCTATAAGTCAGTTCTGACTTGGGAAAACATAACATTCCAAGTATATCTACGTAGTGACTGCATTTCCATCCTCGCTTTCCTCCAGTAGAGCTCCAAACTGTGCAGACAGCTGTCCTTCACTTCTGTTTTCACAACGATCCTCCCAGGTTGGTCAGAGCCTCTAACCTCGTGGTGCAGTGGCTAAACGGCAGTACTCGCAGCCAAGACTCTGCTCACACACAACCTGAGATCAAACTCTATGAGTTCAAGGGTCCATCCTTCTGAGGTCGGTAAAAGGAGCACCCAGCTCGTTGCAAGGTGCAATGCCAGAGTGGTCGACCAGACCAGATGGGCGGGATATAAATCAAATAAATAAATAATAAATTATCTGTAGCCCGCATAACTGAATTATAAACCATCCAGGGCAGCCTATAAGCAGCACACTTCGCTTTAGTCAAGCTTGGAGGAGGGCAGCGACATTCCTCTGAACTTACTGGATGAATTTCGTGGCTGGTTGTGGAGCCCAAGCTGCGGGTCCCTCACTGCCAGGCCAGGACTTTAACCATTACACCACACTGCCCCTCTTTTGCAAGCTTGCACGGGTTGCCCTGCATTAATTGATATTTATTTCATAGGAAACATTAACAGGGTAGGCAGGCAGAATTTTCCTGGTTACTCTTTTTATTTTTAATTAATTAATAAGTAATGAAAAATTAATTAATTTCAATTAATGAAAAAGTAATTAATTAAAAATTAATTAAAATTAATTATTTCCCACTTCCCCCCATTGCACCTCCGAGCCCTTCATTTCCCCTCTCCCCCCTTTCCATGCCATTGATTCTGTGCAACACATGGAACATTTCCTCTACCCCGCCCAGCTAATAAACCGAACCAATCAGATTTCGGACAGGCGCGGCCCAATCCGGTTCCAGTTCGTCATAAAGAAGCGACCAATTATCGCTCCCCCGGCGCTAAGATGGCCAGTCTCGGAAACCAACCCGCAAGGCCCTCTGCTCTGACGTCTATCAACGATGTTACCCCGCCTCCCTCCACCGTGATGACGCTCTATCCCGCCCGCCCTTTCCACTCCGCCCCCGAGGAAGACGTTGTTCCTCTCTATGGTGAGGCTTCCTTTGGGCCCCGCCCCCTCTCGGGGCACCTTTCCGTCAGGGAAGGAAACCACCAGGATTCCTGCCGGCGTCGTTTCTGCGCGTGCGCGCAGCTCGTGAGGAAGTTTTTTTTTTTGACGTCTCCTCTCTGGCTCCGCCCCTCGCAGGTTTCCCCGCGGGGAGGCATTTTGCGACGGCCGCGCTCGACGGCGGCTGCTGCTGCTGCCGCTGCTTCGCGGCCCCCCTCGGCTCTTCTCCGGCGGTTGTCAGGGTGGCTGCGCTTTACGGCCCGGCGGCGATGGCGGAGGGAGAGAGGGCGGAGATTAAACAGCTGATCGGCGGTTCGCAAAGCGGCTTTCCTATGGTC